AAGTACTATTTATGCAACAAATTACTGCTTCAAAATTTAAATTTCTCCAGTTCTATTTCAAGATATAACAATAAAATTTAAGACTGTCGATACTGTGTAGATACTTCTTCTGCAAATTTTAATTTTCGAAATGTGAGTTAAAAGAAGGAGATACGATATTGTTGGAAGAATTAATTAATTGTTGAAAATTCGTCGAGTTTGCACGATCACAAAATAAAGGAATTTATAACTGCAGCTTTCGTGGTTCTTTTTGAATAAATTGGTTATTAATTTAGGTCTGTGAGAAATATTTTGACAGGGAAGAATTCGATATTGAGAACTAAATTGTAAAGATAGTGGAAGAATATTCTTCAAACAATTCTGGGACTGTCATAAACAATAATTAATATATGCAATCCTAATTAACAGACAAAAGAAACACAAAACAATATTTTGTAAAATGTTATAACTATTATCCCATGAAAGACAGTGATTTTCACCTGCCTATTTTCATTTCCACCTAATTTATGTTCAAAATCAGCAGAAACCCATAAGATTCAAATGTTTATGATAATTTACATTAACCACGAAATTTATTGTACAGATAAAAATTCCTTTACTTCATAAACTAAAATAAAATATCGAGAAAATCTTTTCAACGTTCGAGCCAAAATAAGACACATCTGTCAAGATTCCCAACATTCGCAAGATTTCAAGGAATTCCAATCATTTGCAGTAATAATAATTGACACCGTATGACAGACGTTAGACACCCATAAGCAAATATCTATCCACTCGAACCACTCGCGTTATTCGTATTAACATGATTTAAAGACCACAGTGTAACGATCAATTTCTCAAAAAGTTTGTCAAAATATTTCGATCAGGGGCAAAGTTATAGATTTTTGACCGCCGCGAGATCGTTTGGCCCCAGCGTGCGACGGCCACTGTCGCGCTGCATTTCGTCCGATTCTCAACCATCGAATTCGCGATTTTTATGCACGATTTTTATCCCATTACCGTGCAAACGAATCGTCGCTGTTTCGACGTTGTTTTCACCGCGGAACAGCGACACGGAAATGTGATTTTGCGAAATAATTCAACGGCATCGCGCCGATAATTCGATAAACGCGATGAAGAGGCATTAAGAATAATTGGACGACACGGGCCATTTTTTCTCGGCTGGAAAATGCGCAGTCGGAACGCGTGCTGGGGTGCAGAATTGTCGAAAAAGTGGATTCGTTTTGTTCGAATATTTACAAGACACGATGCAAAGTGAATAAACGGATAAAATATTTTTTTCACGCGTGGCTCACTTTCCTGTATTTTCAGGGAATAATTCTCTTAAATCCGCGAGTTCTACTGTCTCGTGGTAGAATAACAGTTCCCTGCAAATATGCCGTTTTTTAATTTTGGAATATAATTTTTGACGAAATGACACAGCTCGCGTTATGGATATAACGAATAAGTGCCATTTATGGCTGCTGGCAGGGCGTATTAACGTTAAACCTACCACGACCGGTCAAACGACCGATGGATGATAAAAGGAAAGAAGAAGAATTTTAAAAGAAGAAGAATGGAATAAAGGGAAATATCGAGAAATTAATTATACTTATATTAACGCTAAACGTACCGGCATTTTGCGCACACCTATTCTTACCATGGGGGTCAAATGACCCTTCGTGGTACATGAGGTATGAAAATAATTTTTCTCGATAAAAAATAAATTAAGAGAAAAACTAAATTATATGAATTAAATAAATTAAATAATTGGATAATATGAGAATTTACAGAAAGTAAGACGAGCGAAGGAAATAACAATGAATGTACGACTTATAAAGTAAATTTGGAAAGGGGTCATTTAACCCCGTTTGATACGTTTAGTGTTAAAAGTAAAATCCTGCAGTGAAATAACCAAAGCAGTAACAATGAATGTGGAATATTAAATCAAAAGTTTAAAAATGGTCGTTTAAGTTGGCAGGTTTAGTGTTAAAACGTAATTTGAGAAAATATATTTAAATTTGCAGAATTTTGTGGAATATGTATATATATTAAAGCATGTCGTTTGAAATAGATTGTAAAAGTGGAAGGTTATAGGTCCAAGAATTTTTTGAACATAATTATAGTTATGACAGCAGAAGTACCATTTTTGATCAACTATTTTCCTCCTCTAATTTTACACTTATAAAATTAGAAATAAAATAAAAAGATATAATAAATAAGAATTGTAAATTTCCTTTTTTTAAAGAGCAATAATTATATTTATATTTGCTATGAAATTACTATGGATTTATATTTCCTATGAAGGAATACTATCAATTGCCAATTTCTGTCACCATTTCACTTTGACAACGAGATTTTCGCGTTGATTTTACGTTTTCCATTTCGTTCTTATTCTTTTCCCTCAATTTTTAGCTTTCATTTTAATGAAACTCGGATTTAGAATTATAGTAAAACTTAAAATATAGGAATAAATAAAACAATGGCAATAAATGGCACATCGGGTTCATTTTATGAAGAAGGAGAGTTTATTATGAAGATGTCAAACGGTTTACAAATACAGTTGTAATTTAATCACAGTATGACTGTCATTTATCATCGATGACATGAACTGTATTATTGTTATTCATTGGTTACGCTATTTTAACGAAAATAAATATTTAGTGTTTTAAGAATCGCAGTGAACTCCACGTTTATTGGACTTTCAAAGAGGCTTGTTTATTGTATCAACTTCGTTCAGTGTTTTATTACTTAGGCTGAAAGATTGTTTGCCATTTTGTCTTCGTGACTTAATTCTTTTATCATAATTTTTCAGATCGTTTAGAAATTGACAAAATAAAATCAAATTGAACATAATATTATTTTAAATTCATATAAATCTATAGTAAAGATTTCATGAAAGGACTCGAAATTATTATCTGTGGTAACATTCCTTTCATCTTTGTTAACATTTCAGTATAGAATAAACGAATAGATGGTCGATATCAGGAGTTTAATGTCAATTTTCATAATTAATTGTCACACTAACTCTTTCACTCGTAGCAGTTAATAAAAATTCGAGCTAAAAAATCAAATTTGAGCTAATTTACGATGACTGAACTTGCTAGTTATGATATCATCTAACAATGTTTCTAGAAGAGCTGGATGCACAGAGATTAAAACGAAATGGTTAATTTTGGTGCGTAGAATACACGCGAATTGCGTTATTTTAAGGTTAATTCATTTTGTGGATCACTTTGGTTATTCAAAGAATTTGGGCTATTAAATATTAAATATTCTACTAAATAATCTACTATAAATATTCTACTAAATATTATTTAACTTCGAATTTCAAATTAATTTTAGCTTTTTTAACTTTTTTAAACTTTTTTTAACTTTTAAATTTGCACGTTAATTTTTTACTAATAAAAATTTAATAATAATTTTCATTAATAATAATTTTCACTAATAAAATCCTCATCTTTGACATCCCACAATATCCAACTAAAGAAGAAATTTGAATTTCAAGTCTCGTTCGTTCGATTCGTGCACTTCGACTCACTCTGTGTAAATAATTAATAATACTTGTCAGATATGAAAAATCGCAGTGTTTAACTGGAATTTCGCTGGTAACAAAATGAAACGAAGAACGAACGAAATATCGATGAAAATTATCTCGTGAAATATTCATACTTGTCCTCGCTATGAGTTCCAAGAGTCACTATCAAGTTGCTCAGCGATGAATTCTGATCTGCTCTCACCCGAAGAAATCGTGGACAAACTATCTGAATTACAAATTCTTTAATGACAATTAAACCGACTAATTTTAGCCAATCACAAAGAACAAACTTCCCAACAGTCGACTAAACGGAATTACTGAAACTTTCTCGCACTTCTCCGAGTCTCCTAATCATTTAACCAAACCAGCCCTAATAAAAGAATCCTGATCCGCGAAATATCCTTCTAAAATATTAATACCGTCCTCGTTTTACAAATCGCCATCTTCTCAGCCATTAATCTACTCAAATCTCTCAAACAAAGACAATATTATCTGAACCAAATACAAGAATAAACAGCTCAACAGCAGAAGTCTGTCAAGAGAAAGGTCTTTCCTGAGCCAAAAGAACCGTGGATCTATTCGTCACGTCTAGATCAAAGACATCTAGTAAATTCATTGCAACAGTGGACATTATCTCAAAGAAGAATATTTAAATATATTACACAAATAAGAATTTTAAGATACATATTCTATCAGCTGTCTGTCAAGAGGAAAGACTGTGCCTGAGCTAAAAGATCGGTAGAAATGTTCATCAGACCTACATCACAGATTTTTAATCCTCAATAAACTCATTGTACTGTAATGTAGTACCCACAGGGGTTAAACAACGCCTTGAACAAAGATATTTAACACTAGAAGGTGTCACTGTCAAAATAACTTGTTTTGGATGTGCAGTTGCTAAAAATACGCAGCTGCTTCTGATACAGTTAATGCTAATTTTTCTGCAAATAAGATCTTAATTATGGTACACTCTTCTATTTCCACGGTATCACTTTAATTGACATCAATTACGTACACTACATTCAGGCTCACGTCATAGATTGGTACATCTACATTGAAACATATTAAACAAAGAACTTCGAAACTCTCTTTTACTGGCAAGAAAATCGCAAAATGCCTTGCAAACAGCAAGATCCTATACTGTAATGATAAACAAATGCAAGGAAGAACAATTGCACAGGCAACAGTGCAAACGAAATACAGAAACACACAGGTCAGCAACAGTCTGTCAAGAGAAAAGACTGTACCTGAGCTAAAAGACCTATTCGTCACACCTACATCGAGGATCTCTGATCTCTGATAGACTCACTGCGACACCAGATCACGTTCTAAACAATGATATTCAAACTCATGGAAGAAATGCGAATTTTAAAACTGTCAGAGCTGCCGTTCGCTGCCAAGAAAATCGCGAAGGGTCTCACGAATAGCATCGTACACTGTAACAATGAACCGAATCGCATAAATACGTTGTTTGTATACGTACTTTGAGCAGTGAGGTCACCGGGCTCGTCCTGTATGTTAACGGGTGAGATTTTCACTGACCTTGGAGGGCCCTGAAGGCTGAGGGGCCCGGGCCCTCCGGCAGCGGCCATCCTCTGCATCGCTGCACCCCCGATTTCCATCGCTCTTCCTGCCCTGCGCACCTCTCTCGACGATTTTCGAGCAATCTTGAGGCCTTCCTGCCAAGTACGACCGCCGGCCGTACTTACTTTTTAAACACGAATTCGACCTCGACGATTCGATCGGCACTCGAGACACCTTCTGTTCCCCTTCTCCGTGATGTCCAAGGGGTTCGACGCGAGTCACGGGGTGAAACGAGGAGCACTCTGTTTACAAGTTCCCTGGTCGTTGGGTTTGGCCTGTTGAATGACACCGTGTTGGATTCACCATACAAGGACCGAATACAAACGAAGTTTCAAGCCCTCCTCGAGAATCGAAGCTCTGAATCCACGGAAACTGTCCGATTAACTAGGTGAAATTGGAATTCGCTAACTTCCTTTAATTCACGTGCTGTTACTTTCCCATTGGGGAGTCGTGAGGAGTAGCTTGTGGTCCCTTTGCACTAGTCAGCGTCAGTTTGGACGCTGATGCACGTGTACTCGTAGATGGACATTCGCAGGTTCATTCTTGGGAGTCTTGCTCGTCTACGTGCACAACGAACGGAAACTCGCGAGGCTTCACGCTACTTGCAAGTCGCGCACTCGGCTCGTCGCACGAATTCCGCTGCGACCACGTTCATCGCGGTTTCCAGTTCCGCACACACCCGGATCACACGCGAACAGACGAGATCGAATGGTGTCAGTGAGTTTGGCACTTCCAGCAATTTGCCGGGACCCACGCCATTTTGCGAGCAACGACGTCCTCGTCTCCGCTGATCTTAGCCCGCGATTCCCCTCAAGAACGATCCCGGGACACCACTGCTATCGACACGATTGACTCCTTCCACGATTCGTCCAGGTGTTCCTCCAACTGTCTCACCCGGACTTTGACACGGAATCCTCTAACCTGACCTGTCACTGCGGCTAGACCAACTCGCCTTCATTGATCACCGACATTCTTCCAGTATCCAAAGGTGCAACCTCGAGACTCGGGACAAAGGAAGTCTCCTATGAATGATCCACTTGTTCCCTGGATCTCGCGAATAAACGAAACAAGCTGCGTCCGTTCAGCGCGAACCGTGACCCTGGTCCCGGAGTGCTGGGTCCGCAGCATCCATCAGCGAAGAGGATGGTGAAAAGTGGCGCGCGTGTGTGCGATTATTTCCTTATCACTCGCGGCGGACAGTGACGGTGTCGATTGTGACGACAACCGACAAAAAGGAAAAAATAATACGTATATATGTATACATTCGCGTATATATAGACATATACATACGCGTACGGGGGAAAGAGGGATGGAAAGGAGAGAGGGAGAGGGCTCTAGGAAGAGAGAGAAGGAAAGAGAGAAAAAAGAGAGAAAGAGAGGACACGTTACACGACACAACACCAACGAGACTGACGGCGCGGGGCCCTGGGAGGCACTGACTGCCGGTTAGGCTCCTATAGAACCCAACCTAACCACCCGACGCCCCCACCTTCGAGGTCGACCTTTTCGACCCCACTCCGAGGTCGGTCCCACTACCCGTGCCACTCGTCCACGTCCTATCCGATGCCGAGAATCCGTACCTCGGTTCCACGCCGACGTCGAACCATTCGTTCTCCCGATGGAGTCGACTCTGTCGCTTCCACGCCTCCTGGGGGCAGCTGCGGGACACTTGGCCGGCTCGAGCCGCCAACAAAATGGCCGACGGACCTAATCGATTCGTACCTACCCTCTCCTCTTCTTTCATCTCGCCTCTTTCTCCCGTTCCATGTCTCCCTCTCTTCATCCTCGGGCTCTCCTACGTCGGCTGCCGCCACCAACGCCGCCACCGGTCCTCCAGCCTCGCTCGCGATCGCGGCCTCGACTTCTCCAAACGCGATACCAGCTCCAACGGCCACCGAAAGATGCTACGCGTTCCTGCCACTACGACACCGTCGCTTTCCTCCCCGTCTCACCGTCTCTCGCGCGATTTTTCCTCCGCTAGCCAAGAACCGGGGTCTATCGGACCTAGTCGGCTCTCGCGACGACCTGTTGTCATCGTTCCTTCTTTTCTCCCTGGCACTGTGTCCCCGCTCGGCTTTCTTATTCTTCCACGCGTCCGTCTCCTTTGCTTTTGCTCTCTTTTCGCTCCGGCTAGGTTTCCAGAAGAGGTGGTTTACGACCGAGGCCCACCAACCTCTCTCCTTCTCGCTCTCTCGCCAGTTTTTCGCCGATTGGACATGTCTTAGGCGCTTTATTGATTCGTCCGCTGTACCAGGTTACCTCGAATCGGATCCTTTGTTTCCGGAGCTCTGTTCCAGAAGCCTCCGCCGTGTTCGCGCGTGTTTTATTCGGCCACGTTGGCTTCGCTGATTCCCCGCCTCGATAGAGCTCCTTTGTTCCACGGCATGTTTTCGCAGATCTCTGTATCCTGCTCGTATTTCGCCAGCGATTTTCAGCGATGATGAAAGTCTCGCGTTTTTTCTCCGATGCTTTTCATTTCAGTTGCACGAAAGTTTTTGGATTTTGTTAACACGTTAAATGCTTTAACAATATTGGTGAAAATTGTTTATGTCTTCTATTCAAAAGTCTCTATTTATTTGCGTTGTTTAAGTATTGAAAAATTGGTTGGAATGAAGCAGATATAAATTGAAAAAATTAGTAGCGCCGGACACTGGTGTCCACCATGGCCCCACTGAGGAGGCAAGCGCCGGTCACCGATCATCGCCATTGGCAGTCAACGTGTTAATAAATATCGAGTTTTTACTAGATCCTTTCGCGGAATTAAAATATTTGCAGGTAATACCTGTTATCGTAACTATTGCAATCGTAATTATTTTGCGTTTTCTTCCGTTTCGAGTGTCACGGATTTTCAACTGCTCACGATTTCAGTTTTACAGTCATCTGTCAAGTTTGCGAATATTTTAATTTCTCCTAGTAAATTTCGAGTATCCTTTCATATTTCGACTGTTTTCGCCTTAATCGCGCGCAATCGTTTAGGTATAGATCGGATTATTAAAGAGGATGCGTCATTAATATCGGTGGTCGCTCTGTAATCACGCGAGGCAAAATTTATGCTATTTCATTTTCCATTATATTTCTATTTCTATGAAAAACGTGATACGTGTTCGAAATTTTCGAAAATTGCTTTCCCAATTATTCCCTATAATAATTATTCTATAACAATTACAGGTTCTATTTTGTAAGGTTATATTCTATAAGGTGTAATCTGGAATCAATAGCATCTGCCTTTACTTAAATCGATAATATTAAGGTTTCATTAAAATTAAAAATTTACGAATTTTAAAAGTATATTTTGTACGAAAATTTATTAATCTTCCATTTATTTTTGCAAATAATAATTAAGTTTTGTGAATTCGGTTTTGTGGCCAATTTTATTCATACTTTTTCTCAATATTTTTACTATTTTAATATTTGTATTAAAAATTCTGAAAATTTGTCCTGACTTATTTACGTGATCATTAATTTCGTAAATTCATTATTTATTAATAGCGATGTTTTCAGAAAAATTTTCCCGAAATTTCGAATGATTTTCTGTTTATCGCATCTTTCTACAACGATTTAAAAATCGAGGATTCATTTTTTGAGCTGCAATTGGCTAGAAATCCATAAAACCGTGAACTCGACGCGAGGCAATAGGTCGCGTATTTTGGCACATGGTTTAAACCGATCCTGTGGCAATTAATCGGTCGATCAATTCATGGACACGCCTAGAATAAACGAAACCACCGTCGAAAACTAACTGATTCGCTTTTTTGCGAAAATATTCGCGATTTCTTCGACTTTGAAAACTGGACATCTCGCCTGTCAGGGACAAACCGATTGCTCGAAACTGGCGATTTCTTTTCAACATTTTCCTCGAAATATCAGTAAAAGAGAGTGTAATGTGTGTAATAACCAGCAACGAATTCGAGAGTTCGAAGACAGACGTTTGCTCATTAAACATGGAATATCTGTTGCGAAGCCAGACGATCTGATGAGCACGGTGGTTAAATCGCTGGAAAACGTGGAAATGAATCGAGTTACCGAGTCGATGAAGTTGGATTACTTCGATAATACATATCACTTTGCTGTGTCTTGCGATTCGAGAACAGAAACGAAGAAGTTCCCTGTCAAATTCGGAATAGTGCATTAATTATTAGCTTGTTTTCCAAGAACCGGTGTCCTACTTCGTGACGAGTGATTTGTAGGTTAAGAATGTTACAATGGTTACTTAAATTTCTTCGGATTTTTAGGATTTATTTATACATTAGGTGTTGTAAATTATTTCAATTTAAAATAGTTATTTAATTATATTTTTGGAGATTTATTTAATTATAAATAAATCCAAGTGTCCCACTTCGTGACGAGTGATTTTGTAGGTTAGAAATGCTGCAATTAACATGGTTATTTAAATTTCTTTGGATTTTTAGGATTTATTTGTATATTAGGACATGATGCAGTAAATTATTCCAATTTGAAATAGTTATTTAATTATATTTTTGGAGAATTATTTAATTATAAGTAAATCCAAGTGTCCCACTTCGTGACGAGTGATTTTGTAGGTTAGGAATGCTGTAGTTAACATGGTTACTTAAATTTCTTTAGATTTTTAGGATTTATTTGTACATTAGGACACGGTGTTGTAAATTATTCCAACTTGAAACAGTTATTTAATTATATTTTTGGAGATTTATTTAATTATATTTTTTGACAGCAGTTAGGTCGAATGGGATATCAAACCTTCATTTTTAGATCGCAATCTTATCAGAATAATATGCCGTAGGGTGATAAGCCATCTAAGTGTACTTGTCACACTATCTGTCGATATATTTATATATTTAAACTCGATTCTTTCAGATCGTGATATTGAAAATAATTGTTCTATTTATGTAATCGTTATTTGAAATTGAATATCTCTATTACGTTACTTAAGATGAATTATAATTCGATTTCTTCTTGTTGGGTGTGGATAGAGAGTGGAAATTAGCAAGTAAAATTATTTATTGCGTCTGCGTTGTTTAAGCTCCGCGTTCTTTTTATTCGACTGACGTAATTTGCC